TGTGTGTGTGTGTGTGTGTGTGTGGTAACATCCAGTGTTCAAACTGGGTTTTGCAACTGATAAAATAACATTGTTCAAGTCTTACTTACTGGTATGTGCTTAAATAGACTGTTGACTTAAAGTTTTGCTTTACCTACAGCTGACTGAAGGACTGAAGGTTGCCTTGGATACGTCTTTTGTACCGAACACGGGGTGAGACTGCATTTGTTTGTATGAACCAGTGATACCTTTATGGGGGGGAAACATTATGTAAGTTTAAACAGACTCTATTCTGGTATAATAATAGCTGCTTTTTTCTCACTTCTCTGAGTGACCCGAGGAGTTAAATGACTCACTTCTCCTTTTTAAATCGCATTTATTCTTTAAATACTACACTGGCCAGGTGGCTGCAGGGTTCTTAAAGGTTTTATTAACAGTTGATAAATCAATTTAGCAACAATTAAGGCCCTTAAAGTTAAGTTTTTGGACAACAGTGGAGCTTTATATAAGATATCAGGCTTTGATACACACACAATACTTGGTTTTGGTCTTTTTATGGGATTTGCTGACAATAAGAAAAACACCTGAACATCACATTAACCGTGTAAACCCATTTTTCAGTAAGAAGAGCGGCAAGCTGAAGACGGGCTACAAGCGCGACTACGTGAACCTGGGCTGTGACGTTGACTTTGAGGGTCCTATCATCCACGCTGCCGCTGTGCTGGGCTACGAGGGCTGGCTGGCCGGCTACCAGATGGCCTTCGACACGGCCAAGTCCAAACTGGCCCAGAACAACTTCGCCCTCGGATACAGGGCCGGGGACTTCCAGCTGCACACCAACGTGTGAGTACGCCAGTGCGTCCTGGAAGGAAAAAAAAGTTTTAGAGAGACTATAACCGGATATCTCAGTGTCTGCTGCATTGATTTTAAAGTGTATTTTTATTATGTTTTGTTAGGGCTTTCAACTTTATGGAAATGCTTGTGCAATATAAAATCCTTGGAGTTGTATTTATTTTATTTTTGTACAAGATCAGGTGCTTAGCTTTAAGTATTTTTATACCAATGCTTCCTAACTTTTTTGGCTTGTGATCCTTCAAAACAACAAAAATCCAGCACTTAACAGTAACCGCAAACCAAAGACAGGTTCTTTTGGGGGATTTGAATATTTTTTTTAAATAAACTCCTACTTTAACAGAAAGTAAAGCAAGAATTACAGGGGGAAAAAAAACAGAATTTTCAGCTTCTGTATCCTGTTAGTAGATCAGTCAAAGTGGAGATTAAAGGAATGCTTTATCCTGCTATTCACTCCAGTATTTACAATACTGCTACCTCATATTCAGAGGCTGTAATTAAACTATTGAACCCTAAAGGTTCTGCAGGGTTTGGTCCCGATGTACTGAAACTATCTGTGTGCGCGAGCGTCTCTGAACCAGCATCTCGTTGCTCTCCCTCTCAGTAACGACGGGACCGAGTTCGGCGGCTCCATCTACCAGAAGGTGAACGACGAGCTGGAGACAGCGGTCACTCTGGCCTGGACCGCAGGCAGTAACAACACTCGCTTCGGCATCGCTGCCAAATACAAGCTGGACAAAGATGCTTCTCTGTCTGTAAGTGCTCCGGTTGATTTAATATTTATTATCATTTATCTGCACAGCCTCAAATCGTATTGATTATACTGCAACAACTACAAACTATTTGTGCCAGTATGGCCTTAAAATATGTCTTAATATGTCTTTAAAAGTCTTGAATTGACACTGTTTTTGTTTGATATCTTATCCTGTTTCCCCCCGCAGGCCAAAGTGAACAATGCCAGTCTGATCGGAGTAGGCTACACCCAGAGTCTTCGGCCAGGTAGGCTCCGATCCATAATGCCGTCTTTCTCATCCATGTCATCTTCAAACAAAAGTCTTTACTAAGAATCTTTGGCCCCATTAAAACCTTTTCACAAAGCTTCTGAGAACCACTTTTACTAAAAACTACTAATAGTTAACCTCGTTGCTGTGAATAGCATCGAGTAAATTAATCTCCTCACGTCGTCTCCAGTGATTGGTTGACGGGTGAATGTGAAACTAAAGACTGAAGATTGATGTCACAGATTTTAATCAGGAAACAAAGTAGATTATATCTGCCATCAAACACCGTCTGCATGACTGAACACACTGTAAACATACAGCATTACTCAGCCTCTAATATACCACACAAATGAATAAGGTAATGTGGTAAAAAATGCCTTAGACGGTATTAAAACATCTTAAATTTCACCTAAATATTACCATTTTCCTGCCATAGATGGTGACATTATGAATGTATAATGTTATGTATGTGATTTAAGAAACAAGACGCTGCAGGAGGTGGAGTTTGGTCTGCAGCTACAGTAGCAGGAAGCTCGATCACTTAAAATAGCAAAGTGTCAGTTTTAGCAGAACTATCTATGAGTGGATTGCCTGGTCACTTTCATTTATTATATCATGAATTATTGTAGATACTTCTGGGAAATACTGAAACACAACCCATTAATATCCACAATGACCGTTACAGCACTTTAAGTACTCACTAAGCTAAACTCAAATCCATTCATCATTACTATGAGACTACAGCACACTTTTTACTTTATCATCCTTTTACTCGTTAGTCACTACGGGTTGCTTTTTTATATTCCAGGAAAACACCTCTAGAACAAACAGGTTAGGTTTGATGACAGTTACAGTAAAGACATTTTATAATGTGTTCCTGTGGGATACGATGAGTGACTGACTGCTACACAATGATACACAAATGGCTTTATCTAGAGTTAGTTATATCAAATGATACAACTGCATTCAGAAATATGTGCTCTTTCCTTTTCTATTGTTGAGTAAACTGATTAACCCCCAACAAAGGGACTTATTTTATTGGTATTTCATATTCCAGAACAGTAACAGTAGAGAACAACTGGAACTGTACAGTGAACACAAACAGTGAACTCAGTAACTGCAGGAAGTTTGTGTAAAACAGGAGTTTTGGATGAATTTTGAGCAGATTATTTCCTGTTAATATCGATCAGAGGTGAGTTTTCCTGATATTTTTTAGGAACTTTACACACTTTGTCTGTATTATGTATTTGTTTTGTTTTTAACAATCATACATACTTAATAGGCTTCTTTTGACACATTCAGTGTTTGAAATGCTGATATATAAAGCCTGTGTGTATTTTTAAGTTTTCTTATACCCCTTTAAAATCAAGAAGGCTTCACAACCTTTGGTGACCCCCTGTGGGGTTGGGAACCACTGCTTTAAGTCACGATAACTATACAGCATTAAACATTTAGATTGTGTCCTGTGTATCCATGTCGACACTTTTCACCTCCAACAGAAAAGGTTCTGTACAAGAAGTTTTTAACTGGTTATAAACAGTCTCAGTTTGATAATGAGCTACAGAAACTAACAAGACCCTCAGAGAGAAGGTATTTCTATAGTTATTCTTAATGCCACCGGGTCGGATTCCCCTTGAAATCAATGAAATAAGGAGGTAGAAACACTACCACCTTTGTCCACAGGGGCCGCCAGAGTCAACAAGCTGCTTTAACATACTGAATATAATCATTAATGGGTTTAACAGTCCAACATCCATCCTGGTGAGCTCTGCAGAAACCCTGTTTTGTGTGTCTGCAGGTGTTAAGGTGACCCTCTCAGCCCTGATCGACGGCAAGAACTTCAACGCCGGAGGACACAAAGTCGGCATGGGCTTTGAGCTGGAGGCATAAAGCGGGAGAACTCAGACCCACCAACAACAAAAAACGCCCCAAACTACATCACTACACACTCCTCCGCCCTCCCCCCTCCTCACACACAGGTCACCACCATCACGTAGCTTCTTCTCTCTGGACTTACACCCCCCCCCCGCCCCCCATCTCACTATCCATTCATTGAGCATTGCTGGACAGTAATGAGTCGATCTCAGCATCATGCTGTACACGACCGCCCTGAAGAGGAGTTCTTGAGGTAAGTTTGCGTGTTCATCCTGAAACTGCGGCGCTGTAGTTCGGGTGGATTATTGCCGTTGTATGTGGTCTACTGTGAGGAGGACACTATGATCCCCCCCCCACCCCCAACGCCTCGTAGCTTCTCGGATGAAAGTAGGTGATCGGGTGGTAAACGTGTCAGCTCATTAAAAGCTTTTCTGTAAAATCAGCTGTTTCCTGGCCCTTCCAAAAGCATGTGCAGAATGAAAACGTGGATCGGAGCTGAAAGCTTATTTGCTTGTTTAAAAAAAAAAAAAAAAATGGTGCTGAGTGTCTGTTTGTTTTGTTTCGGCTGTGTTGTTGCAATCTGTGGACTATTAAATCCATATACATGTTTTGATACAACACATTTCACGAACATATGACTGGATTACTGACGAACCGGTGGTTTGAAGTTAAGTAAAGACTCCTGCATTGTCTGACTGAAGGATGTTTAAAACTGTTAGCTTTACAGGAACAATGTTCGGTGCAGATGCTCCTTTGTGACTCCTCATTTCTTCGGTAGGTGAAATCAATGTAGTGGAATCTTCTGGTTAGATTACGTAGTTTAGTTTTGCATTTCTACAATATTGTTTTCATCTATCTGCCTCAGCACAGTGGTCACAAAGAAAGGGAGGGACATCTTTGCATCTGCACCGTCTCGTAGGTATCTCAGCTGCTCAGCGGCGCCGGGCGTCTTAACTTTGACGGCCAGCTGTTTCCTCATGTTGCTCGGGGACTGCGGTCATTGCTGTCAGTGCTCTCTCTCTCGTCACAAACAACCTACACTCCTCAGATCTGTACAGAAATATACAGTGGATTGTCCTCCGAGTGATTCCAGTCGACACACTTAATAGGATTATTTAAGAGGTTGTTGTGTCCCTCATGACTAGCTTGTTTTCTTTTTTTTTTGGTAATCATGCATCAAAATGTGTTTTTTTTTCTTCCATCTAATTGTGTTGTCATGATTATAAAAGGCTCATTTTTCTTTGTCACTTAGACACAGTACCTCATTTTTTTTCCAATGTCAATTAAGGTAATTCTAATAATAAAAAAATAAATAAAAACAATGTGAACGTTGGAATTATTTCTCATCCAAGTATGGTCTTAGAAACAAGTTGTGAACACATTTAAATATAGTTTATATGATATTTTAAGCAAACACCTGATGAATGAATCTTAATTGCTTTGAATATTCAAGGTGATGTGTTAAAACAGTTTTTTGACAGTAAACAAGCTCTAAACACTTTACGGTAAATAATATTTTTACCTTTTAAGTTGAATGTTGGCAAACAGTCCAGCAGTTACGGAGCAGCATTATTATTCATTTAGTTGTATTTGTGTCTATCTGATGAATATAAGTCCAATATTCACTCCTTTAGCTCTGTGTTTGGTCTCTACCAACTCCTGAGGGAAATATCTGACTCTTTAGCGGTTAAATGCAGCACGAATACTTTACATAAGTAGTTTTTACAGGTATCAGTACTTGAGTATTTATTTTTCTGACAATTTGTTTTACTTTTAGCTCCTACATTTTACACATATCTGTACCTTCTACTACTTACAGTCTCAAAACAAGCTTGTTACTATAGTTTTAAATGCATTTGAGGGGATCATACATTTTTATGTAATTGCATTCACAATGGATGAAACAGACGAGGGTCGGTAGAAATGTCCTTCAGAGAAACAGAGTAGTTTTTACTTTCATTCTTTGAGTACAGCCTGTACTTTTTTCACTTCTACTTTTATCCGAGTATTTATTTATTATTTTTAAGTACCATAAGTATTAAATTGTGAACTGTGTTAGACTGCTTAGACTCGGGTCCCTTTACTCGTCTGGCGTGGCTACATGTTTTAACCAACGCAGGATTTTTTAGAATTTCTTTGGATGTATAAAACCCATCGGGGTTGACAGTATTTTCCATCTTTGTTGAGCATGAACTAAAGGCCTGTCCCAAAGAAAGGCATGCTGAGTTCAGGGGAATATAATTGAAGTTTTACAGTATCTATACTTCCATTTGAGTAATGAATGTGCTGGTAGGTACTTTACCTACCAGCACCCTAAAAGCTCACTGATTAACTTATTATTTCTTGTTTATTTAACCTGCACAGAAACAGAAGTGTAAAAATGATGCCTGGTTTCCGAGCAGGTTAATATGTGCGGGACTATTTCTTCTTCCTGGTGCAGAGACTTCCTGAACTGATTCCTCCTTTTTCCAGTCTTATTGCTAAGCTAAGCTAAACAGGTGCTTCATATTGCAAATAAAATAATAATAAAACAAAAAAAAAAACATATAAAATCAGAGTCATGTATAAATGGTGTCTTTAATTCCAAGGCACTCACTACACATTGAAGTTTAAATTAGAAATATAAACTGAATACAGAACATTTAACATACAAGACTCATTAAGTCTGATCAGGTCAATAACAAAAATTAAATCTTAATGCTAGTGCGAGTCTGTGTCTACTTAAAGTTGCTCTCTTTTAACATAAAGTACATCCATGCAAAAATATCTTTCCCCTAATAAATAAACTTGGCAGGGACCAAATATTCTGAAATAAAAAGAAGCAATGTAGCTTTGTATCGTCACAATCTGCTGACTTGCACTAGCATTAATAAAAGACATTTTTACGACAAAAAACATCGAGAAATGTGTTAGTATCTGATGAATTATAAAAATCTAAACTTCCACTTATTGATCAATCAATATTGGTCTTACTCCTGTGTCTGCTTCAGCTGCCTAATAAAGTAGTTCTGTCTAAGAAAGGTTAAAGGGTCAGCTCACCCAAAT